TTTGCCTTGGCGATGAATTCAGATTTCTGCCATTCGTATACACCAGTCGTGAAAAATATTTCGAATGATACAAGATGTGATGATTAAATATTTGTGTTTTTGTTGATGTAATCTCGAAGTATTTTGATGTTCATCAGATGCAAATCATTATCAGATTCTTAGATATTAAAGAATCCGGCTAATATGTTCGTTTGATACATTGCGCTAGTTGTGAAACATCTCTGTAACATTTTGAAGCAGTTAGTGAGCAGTTTTTATTACAAATTAATACTTTTTTTAAAAGGCAAATCGTATGGATATTTTGTGTGGTGAATCTGTTTAGAAGATTTAAATTACAAGCTTTTTTCGGCTCATTTCGGATACATTACGGCTCATTTCGGAAAGCGGGCTTCAGCCCGCTAGTTATTAATAATTTCCGTATTTGTTAACAATGCAAATACGAAATTTAATTCCAAAAATGAAAAACAATTGCTATTTTGTTATTCCAGTCATTCTGTTTTGACTGATATTTAAAATGTCGAGAGCAGCAAAAACTTACTCTTAAAAGACATTTCGAATTTTCAAGCCTGTTTCCTCACATAACTCATCAATATTTTCTTGTTTTTAATTTTCTTCTATTTTTCAAATTTGTTTCTATGTCCATTATTTATATACACAATTTGTATAATTTGTTTTTGTGAATATCAGAATTTATATCAAAACCTTCTTCTTCATAATGTCTTAAACTTCTTTCTCATATCTTGCATATTATTGAAACGCTTTTGACATGTTGGTGAGCTCCATTCATCGATTGATTTTCGATTGGCGATCGTTGATTGATTGATAGATCCTTCAGATACAGCGCGGACTTTAAAAAAATTTGTTTTTAATTTTTGGCATTTGCCAAAATGTTTAATAATTTGAGTTAGCTCACGACCAACGTAGATTTCAATGGAACTCCACTCTGTCACTGTATTTTAAAGTAGTTACACATAAATACTTGTTTTATACTTCCCTAAACAAGTATAAAGTTGAGTTAAAATAAAGTTGTTGAACAATTTGGCCTACTTTGCAAGAATGCGCAACTTCATTTAATGAAATACGGTTTTGGTGGCTCAAAAAAAAAAAAATTCAGTTAGGTTATGTGTATTTTTAGGAGCATTAATATTTATGATTTGTTATCTGCTTTATTTGCTCGTGAAAAACTATTATGCCCTGAATTAATGACCTCAGATTTCCAATTTTTTACGCTGCTTATAAATTAAGCAGTATCATTTTTTTTACTCTCTAGCATTAATTTATTAAAGACAAAAAATAAAAAATAACTATAATGTATGGAACTATAGTAACGGAATCTATTTATGTCTTAGACAAGTTATGCAGTGGTTCTGAAATGAAAGATGTATGTCAAGGATTATATGATGAAATCGCTTCATTATTATTAAAAGTATTACATAAATTTTTTAATTGCGAAAATTATTGAAATATGTAATACGGGGAGAATTCTTTTCTGAATATTCCATTCGTTGTGTGGTGAAATACATGTAATTCGCGTTCTTCAAATGTTGAATGCACTAAAAACTATTAGGTCCACGCTGCCATTGATATCTTATATTTTCAGTAATGAATTTAATCGAAATTTACAAGTATATCTACTTTTAGTTTGTGATACCATTTTTATTAGCATTATTATTATTATTGACGGTTTCACGTACTAATGCTGTAGAAATAAATTAAAGCAAAATAAGTAAATGTAAAATTTAAATTTCAAATAACTTAGAAGGCGTTTTGCCCCCCGCTTATTAGTGAATAACAGAGAAAATCTATCTGCCTTTAACTTTGCCATTTGTAATGTCATCGTACTCTAATCCAAACTTTTCTGTCCCTAACATGATGCCTCTTCGTGAGACTGCACATGTTGCAAGTACTGTCGTTTATTACATTGTGAGAACTATCATTTAAACCTGCAATTCTCCTTATTATGATATTAAGATCAAGATATGAAAAAAAAGCTACGGAATGACTTGCAAGTTCATTCAAATAAGTTCAGAATCCGGCCTAGTGACTTCTCTGATTTATAATTCGAGTGCGATGCAAAAGAGGAACATGTCCTTAAGGGTGGTCGCCTTTTTATTTGCGTCGCTCCGATAGTAGGACACCGATTTACATAATTAATTTATTATTTACATTAATAATTATCATTTATTAATATCCGTTTTAATTCTAAAATAAAAATGAAAGCAAAGGATTGAATTTTTTTTATGAACTCCAATACTAAATATATTAAATGAAAGCAAAAGGGAAAAAAATAAATAATAATTATCTTTTATTACATTAATTATCCGTATATATGTAAGAAATAAAAGCAAAAGGAAAACATATAAAGTATAATTCATTACATTATTATGTATTTATAATTATCGGTTTAATTAGCATTTACATTATTTTATATTTATAATTATCGGTTTATTCGCATTTAACATTATGATTTATTTATAATTATTCGTTATAATTCGCATTTAACACTTATTTATTTACCTACGCTCCGATTAAGGAGGAGACAAACTTTCAACTTCAACCACGCAGCAGAACGAATAAAATGTCACGTGACCTTCAATTGAGCACAAGAGTTTTCCCTAAATCCCTCCCGATACTCCGGATTCTACAGTAACCTAAACGTCAGCAGAAAGTTGTTGGGGTGGGTAGCCGGGTTTGGCGGAAATCGCCACCATCGGCCGCCGTAGCGAGGTCGCCAAGAGCCGGTTATCCGAAAACTGCCGCATCTTTCGAACTGTTTAGCTCTTCCTAGCAATTTTAGAAAATCCAAACTTTAGTATATAAGATAGTAATTGCATAAATTCGTTACAAGTATGCATATATACTGTGGCAAAAAAACCAACTGTAACACAATAGACTATTCTTGAAATGATGTCATGCTAATATCATACACCAGATCGAATCTGTACTAGAATGTGCCCTTAAAGTTTTATAATAGCATGTGTATTGACGCAAGATACCAAAAGCTAGTGTGAAACGAGCAAGAAACAATTAGGGTAAAATTGAAATTAAACCATTTTACGTGTGTGCAGAACACAAACATGATATTGAGCTCTGAGCTGTGTACCAAGTCATATGATATTAAGGCTGTCTATAGATGCTTAATTATATATGAAAGAAACGTCATGTGCAGTATGTGTGTAACAAGTCATTTAGATAAAGGAATATTTTAAAAGGCAAAATGAATATAAATCTAGGAGAAGAATATCATATGTGTGAAGTTTGTAGAAAGTCATTTAGACAAAAGTGTAGTTTAAATGTGCATATGCGTATTCACACAGAAGAGAAGCCTTATGCATGTGAGGTATGTAATAAGCAATTTACACAAAAGGTTAATTTGAAGAGGCATATGCTTACCCACACCGGAGAGAAATCTAATGTATGTGGGGTATGTAATAAGGCATTTTTACAAAAACATCATCTAAACGAACATTTACGTATTCACACAGGAGAAAAACCTTACATGTGTGAGATATGTAACAAGTCATTTACAAGAATAGTTAGTTTAAATAATCATATGCTTATTCATACAGGAGAGAAACCTCATGTATGTGAGATATGTAATACACCATTTAGACTGAACAGTTCTTTAAAAAAACATATGCGCGTCCACACTGGAGAGAAACCTTATATATGTGAAGTGTGTAATAAGTCATTTAAGGAAAAGAGTGATTTAAAAAGGCATATGTGTGTTCACACAGGAGAAAAACATCATGTATGCAAGGTATGTAAAAGGTCATTTAATCAAAAAATTATGCTAAACAATCACATGCTCATTCACACAGGAGAGAAACCGCATGCGTGCAAAGTGTGTAATAAATCATTTAGACATAAGAACACATTAAATGGTCATATGGTTATCCACACAGGAGAGAAAGCTCATGTGTGTCTAGTATGTAACAAATTATTTAGAGAAAAGGGACATTTAAATGAGCATGTGCTTGTTCACTTACAAGAGAAACCTCATGTGTGTGAGGTATGCTACAAGTCATTTAGACAAAAGAATCATTTAAAGTATCATCTCCTTATTCATAGTGGAGAGAAACCTTATGTATGTGAGATATGCAACAAATCATTTAGACAAAAGGGTACATTAAACAGTCATATGTTTATTCACACAGGAGGGAAACCTCTTGTGTGATGTATGTAGCAAGTCATATAGACAAAAAGCTTGATTTAAACCAGCATATGCTTCTTCATACAGGAGAGTAACCTCATGGCAGCGTGAGGTATGTAACAAGTCATTTAGACCAAAAAATTATTTAATGAATCAGCCTTATTCACAGTGGAGAGAAACCTTACTTATGTGAGGTACGTAACAAGTCATTTAGACAAAAGTGTTATTCAAGTGTACATAAGCTTATTCACATAAACAAATAACCACATACGTTTAAGGTATCACCTTTAAACTAAAGTATAATTTTAAAAAAAGAAAATGTGCTTATCCATAAAAGAAACAAAACTCAATGACTTGTATATATAATAATTCATTTCGTGAGCAGAAGAATTTAAAGAAATGTATGTTCATCTACACAGAAAGGAAGTCTCATTTCTTTTTACAAGGTGTGAAATTCTATAAAAGGTTTCTATAAGATTGCATTTTCTTTGTAGAAAATCATGGTTTACAAATGTAAATGTATGCTAATTCTATAGAATTTTTGGTTGATCTTTGGATTATGATAACTTGGCGATTTTTTGGCGACCAACTCTGCTACATTAACCCCTATTTTTGCGTCTCCATCTGCTTCAAGTTTTTGGTTTCTTTTTTTTTTTACTGGGCACTTTTTCCAACATCTACCAGCCGATTACATTGTGCTAGAATTTTATGAACAAAACTGCTTCGTCATACAAATATTAACTGCAAATTGGAAAAAGTGCTCAATCGCAACTCCTTGCACGTTTTTCAGAATAGCCAATACACATACACCATTTACACTCACTTATGATAAGACATATATGAAATTACCTGATCGCGAAAAAGTATTACCCTTTCCAAGGATGAAATTTCCACATATAAAATAAATAAAATATCCAAAAACTTTTACCTCTAAATCATCTATTATATTATAAACGTCACCAACGAATTTAATACCGCAACCATTAAAAATGATTACAAATACTTAGTGTCAGATATTTAAATTATTTCATGCACGTTTACTTCACTAAAACGTATACCAAATTCCTACAACATAAAATTCACAAAATAACTATCATTTAATTAATATAATTAAATTAAAAAACACTACTTAAAATATAAATGAGCACAATTAAATAATAAAAATTACCTTACAATCCTAAGTACTTTAAACTAAATCATTGCTAATAACAATTTTCCCAATAATACCATATTCCTTTTTTACTTCCACCTTACATTTAGAACAATGCATAAAAAAATATCCTCAAATATTAAAAATACTACTTACCTAATCTTCTTCAAATCTTGATTACGTGCATACCTTTTCTAATTGTCAATAAATTATTGAAAGATTTTTTCTGCGAATTTTTCCTCCATACTTCCTCCTAATAAAAAGCAAAATTCTCTTTACACAATGCTCGGAATGGCGCTTTTTATAGCACTCCACGTGCCTCTATTATTGTATGGCCCCTGTTTCAGGATCTTTAAAATATACTGATGGTTCACAGCAAGATGTTGAAAACCTTCATCCCCAAACATGCATATGATTTCCAGCATCAGATTATTATTGTACAGTAGAATTACTGTTTAATAAAACAATAAGCATCTTTACTTCTATCTCGCACAACCTTAAAAAAAACTTATTACTACCGCCACCCTTTCAATCCCACCAAACCCCATTTTCCTTCCACTATCCTACCTCTCTGATACTCTCTTCCCAAACGTTTCATCAATTTCAAACAATACATTTCATACCCCCATCATACCCATATCATTCTTGCAATTCCACGCACACTTCCCTACAGAAAATTCCAATCAGCTGCAGTATACTGGCTAATTTCTAAATCCGAATTCAGTAGTCAACTGGCAGTCGATTCACCCAATAATAAAATTAATAAAATTTCACCCATCTCAAATGACTTTCAGCAAACCACGTACCTTCCTTACACTCCGTTTCACAAAATGTCCATTTTCACCAGATTTCTTGCACCGCCATTCAAACTTATCTGTAATATCCTTCCTTTCACACAATCTCATTTCCACATGTTGGACATTCATACTTATCCGCAATTAATCCTACACTCGTATACCATTCAACCAATTCTTTTGAATTATCAGATAAATGCATTAAAAATTTTGAATTCACTTTAGATAGCGCCATGCGATCCAAAAATTAATCAACACTCGCACAACACACAATGAAGCTTAATACTGCAGCTATAGTACTGCAGATGTTTTTCCAAATTTATCCCCTTTTCCGATTAAAGAACTGTAATTTATTTGTCCATTAATGTCACATGCCATATCTCATGATCTCTCATTTCCCCTCACACAAAATAATGCGTAATCGAACTGAGTACTTCTCACATTATTACCAAAGTCCTAGGTCCTAGGTCCTTTATCGCCTCCAAAATGTCGCCAAACTACCTGTTACCATATTCCAAAGATCGGCCGAATATTTTTTTTTTACTGGGATATATGCATATCCAAATTGCAGTCATGTACATGATACTATGTGTAAGAAATTATTCTAATGAAAGTATGTCTTGTAACACCATTTATCTGTAACACTAAATCTTATGTATGTGATATATGTTGGAAATCATTTACCTGTAACCAGTTAATTTTGCATGTGTATATCGACACTGGAGAGAAATTACTCTATGTAGTGTATGTATGTATCATATGCATGAAAACAATAGCTAGCCTATGCATATTCACATTGGACACTTATAAGATACATATGACAAATCATTCTTGCATGTGTGTACACTGAGAAAGAAAATATGGGACAGTTCTATATCTTCCGTTCTACCATTTTTTATGTCTCGAAACCGCGACTTAGTTTATGTATTTGATATATATATAGTATTGTTCTCATATAGGTATTTTGATACAAAATCAGACTTTTCCTGAAATACAGTCAAATGTCGTTAATTCGGACATCTATAATCTGGACTTCAAAACTATAAACTTTCTGTGCATGCGCTGCGTTGATACATGCGCATAGGCATTTATGCATGCACATAACACCTTTACGACTGTGCAAGTGCAGAATACGTTTTTGCATGCGCGTTTAATGTATAATGGATGGTATAAGCTAAAATTATCTATTTCAGTTAATGTTGATGATTGCGTTGTTCCTTAATCTTTGAATTGGATCCAGCTTATTACTTTTTTCAGACCTGTAAGAGCAATTTTATAAAACAAACTTGAACTTTCGATTATGTCAAAATTTACTCTGAGCTTCCAAGATCTACAAACAAAGTATGTTTCGATTCCACACACCAAATGGCATTGCTTCAAAAAATTGATAAGACTAATAAGTGACAGAGAGTTAGTGAAAAGAAAAAATTTCTATTGACATTTAGTCGTATTCTCGGCCCGGCAATTAACGGACTTGAACGCGAACTTTTACTGAACAGAATTATGTCGTTTATATCATTAAAGAGAAGTATTACACATAAAACGATACTACATTGAAAGAAATTTTAATAAAGTAAACAATAAATATTAATTTTTTTTTTTTTTGTAATTTTGATACCCTTAGATCAAATTGCTCTTTATTTTTATAACGGTTTCATATTTTTAATTTTTATATTGCATGCCCTTGAGATTTAACTGATACTATATCCAATCGCCGAAGTCCCGACGAGTCCGATACGACTTTTGGCTGAACATATAATTTTTTTCAGTATTCATTCTATATACTCAAATTTGCTGACTACAGTTTTTGTAAAATCGCATGAATAGTTTTTAAAAATTAGCTCCAGATTTAGCTCCTCCATGCTAATTGAATCTTGGATATTTTATAATATCTTCTTTTTTTATTAAATTTATTTGATTCTTCCTTCACTTTCGAACTTTATGTTATTCATTCCAAAAATTCCCTATTTTTTTGATTTATTTTTAAATATGTTTTAGGTTTTTCAAAAAAAATTTGGATTTATCACCTATAAAATTTCTGTCCATTATCTTAAAGCAATATATTCAAGCATACCCTAAAAAGATAGACTCTTTATTCAAAATTTCCTATATATACATATATTTACATATTGGCATTTTTTTAAATTTGTCAATTGTTATAAGGTATAATGCAAATGTGGTTTACGCACTTTGTTAAAATTATGAATGATGACTTTTTTCTGTTGGTCTGTAATTAAAAAAAGGGAATGTAAATGGGTTGCTATAAATTAAGAAGTTTGCCAAGTGAACTATTCTTGGCGCAAATTGAAAAAGTGGGCCAAGATAATTTTTTTAATTTCTCCATAAATTTCACATGAAATTTTACAAAATTTAATATTTAAGCATAATTTGAGTTTTAGAATTGAAATATCGAAAATTGGCGTGTCATTTCGGAAAAAGTAAAATTTTGAGTCAAAATACCTATGTGTTAGAACAATGCTATATTAAAATCTAATTTATATCCTAAGTCGTGCTTTCGAGACATGGAAAACACAATTTGAATTTCATCAATCGGCCCTGTGAAGTGAGAGGTATAGAACTGTCCATCCCTTTTTTTTGCGCAATGTACATTAAGGAGTCATGTGAAAACACCCTCAAGGCAGATCTTGGTGTGAGGCATATGTGTCCATTTCAGCTTGAATTGTATTAGTTTAGTTTAGTTATTTATTATACTTATGTCTATTTCTTTCAGAAGAAGTCTTGTGGATGTGTATTCCCTTATGCATAAGTAGCAGTTAACTGTGGATGTCTGTAACTGCATTCGAGAGAAACGTCATGTATGTGCTATATACAGTACAAAGTCCGAAATCTGGACTCGTCAGGACTTCGGTGATTCCAGATTTGAGATTTTTCCGGATAATAGATCATCAGTTAAAATCTAATAAGATGGCATGCAAAAATTATAAAATTTAAAATATGAAATCATAATTTATGAAATAATTAAGTATTTATGATCAAAAGGATATCAAAATTTACAAAAAAAAAGCTTACTATTTATTTTGTTTACATGCGATAACACATTTCTTTCACTGTAAGTTGTTTAGTTACTCGTATTTTTGTGCTGTACTTTCTCATATTCTAAACAAGATAATCACTTAAACCTGTTAGTTACATTATGACGTCCTGTACTGTGTTTTGTTGAATTCGAATAACTTTTCAATCGAATTTTCTCGTTTTCAGTAACATCGCTGTCACTTTCTATCGATCGGTAGCGGTATTTCTGTATCTAGAACAATACTCATCTAGAACTAATACAGATTGCTCCATTCATTAATTGATGATTTGAAAGCATTGTCATGCAATAAAACTTCTTTTATATCATCTTCATTTATTACCGCTTCTCCCATGTCTTACAAAATCCGTTAACGGAAAAATTCACCTTTTTTTGCGATATTCGAAACCTTAAATTATGGCTGTCAGCTCAAATTTAGCTATCCTTGCTCAGAGCTTGTGCTTATGTAATTTGTTTCCATTAAATTTTCTTGCTTCTTATCGCGCACTGAGGCATTAAGCTTGAATTGTATTAGTTATTTATTATACTTATGTCTATTTCTTGCAGATGCTTAAGGCTTATCAGATAAATAAATTTCCAAATATACTTAAGCCTTATATTATCACCTGATGCAGTCTCTGTGGGTCCTAAATTCTGGAACTCGGCGTGGCCGGACGACCCCTGGCACTGGTTCTGTGTTTATGCGAATAACAAATCAATTATTCTTAATTCAAATAGCCTAAGCATCTTTGGGTCTATGAGTATCATCAACAAAATCTATCTTTAGCATATGAGGAGAAATTTTTGGTAAATTTTTCCTCTTCAAAAATTTTTTTAGCACATTTAACTTAAATCTGTAATCATCGCCAAGCATAATGCAGCATACAAGGTTATCATACTCCTTTATTTAATTAATAAATAAAAATTGTTCAGGCATCCGCTCCTGAATCTTTCTCGAGTTGCTGTTGATAAACATGCGATGATGAAGGAAGTATAATAAATAAAATTCGCCAGGTTCGTCGATCAACGATGTATCTATGTGGAATGTTTCGGTTGGAGATGCATGCCAAAGCAAAAACGCAGCAACGGAGCCAATTACGAATCATACATTTTAGCTAAAATGATTTTTTTCTTCGTAACAGGTATTTTATTTAGTGCCGAGTGAAATTAAGAATCGGGACTCTCCAGATGTTTTATTATGCGCGGAGGTGGATATCAAATGTGCATGCATAAAGCCTCCGAGAAAATTTTGTTGGTGGTTTTGAGGTCCGGATAATGGACATCCGGATTTCGGACTTTGTACCGTATAACAAATTATACAAATGTAAGCAGCATTAAATACTGCATTTGTATATCTATACTGGATAAAAAAATTTATGTGTGTAATGTCAGTCACGCAAAAATGTTGGTATGCAAATAGTGATGGACTGTCGCCAATAGAGCGATAAAATGCATGAACTGAAAATCCTACAAAGGAGTTAACTGTGTAACTCGCTTATTCTTTACTCTTACTTTTCTCACTCCTTCAGGAAAGGACTGTATATGGCATTCTATCTGTAACCCCTTTCCATCTATATTTTGAATACTTACGAATCTGAATATATTTTCAGTATGAAAAAGTATGTTTTCGCTTACAATTTCCGTCTACAACCTGTTTTGGATTACAAGTTAATTAGCTATCATCTCGCTTGAACTGCGCTGGATACAACGTAAGAGGAATCATTTTGCTCTCTACTTTTATTAATTTGTGAAATTTCGAGCAGAAAAGTTTCACACAAACGATTATGAACGATAAAAGATCATAGCTTAATTAAATAATAAATAATTAAAAAACTGTAAAAGCTAAGCTGTATTTCAATCAAAACTGAAATGAATTCTTCGACAATCAAAATGTTTTAGTCAAATGCAAATGCAAAACGATTCCACAGTTCTCAACATTGAAATTCAAAATGCAATGCTACTATAGAGCTTACAAACAATGGAGTACGGGATCGCAATGTCGCGCGATATAAATTTTGTTTATCGAATACATCCAAATATTTCACATTAAACATGAAACTACTGCTAAAGCCACCTGGGAAAAACTCAGGCAGGTACATGAAAGATCTAATCTTTCAAGTAAACTATTTCTTTTGCGAAAGCTTAACAGTTTGAAGCTTGAAGAAGACGAAAATGTGCAAACACATATAAAAACATTACTGGAGTTAGTCTATAAACTCATATCAATAGGTGAGAACATAAAAGATGAACACGTTTCGTCACTTTTGCTTTCTTCAATGCCTAGTTCTTGCGATATTCTCATTTCGGCTCTTGAAACGAGAGCAGAATTGAAACTGAATCCAGAATTTTTAGAAGGGAAGTTAACTGACGAATTTAACAAGAGAGTTGAAAATAATTCATCAGATTCAAAGGCATTTTAAAGCCTCGTTTCAAAACAAGACAAAGAGAGAAAAGTTTTGCTCATACTGTCGAAAAAATAATCATTTTAGATCAGTGTTATCATCTAAAATCGGAACAAAAAAATGAACCTCGCCAAAACTCGAAGAAAACATATGCAGATTCTAAAACACACCAAGCAAAGAATGCTTGTAACCTCATGATGAATCAATAAGAAACAAAAATTAAAACACCGGAAATCGAATCCAGATGGCATGTTGCTCTGTCTGCTGACAAAATCATACATCAATCATCCGCGCGGTGGAAGTAATCACCCGGTAAATAATAAGAAATATTTCACGGAGTATCAAGCCATAAATCCGTCAGATATTATGACTGCGAATGGGCAATGTATTAAATCAACGGCAATAGGAACTGTTCGTCTTAAAACATTAAATGCTAAACAAAAAATAACTGAAGTTATCTTATCGGAAGTTTTATATGCTCCTGAATTAGAAATGAATTTAATCTCACTTAAGAAATAACGGAAAATGTCTTTCGTTCTATTTTTGAAGTAATAATGTATGATCATTTAAGGGAGATATATATTCTGAATGTCATGCAACTAATATCTTTAACCAAATTAAACACGACAGGAATAATGAACCATCGCTCATGTATCATTTCAGTGCAAAAATGAGAACTGTGTTCAACTTAGGCATAGATGCTTTGGTCACAGAACCGATGGCGCGATCAAACAACTTGTAAACAAAGAACTCTCTGAAGGACTTAAACTAGATAATTGTAAACATGATACCCAATGCATTCAGTGCATAAAATGCAAACTAACTGATTTCCCGTATCCAAGGAATCTAAATTCAGTGCATCTAAACCACTAGAACTCGTTCGCACTGATATTTTAAGACCAGTACAATCACCGTCTGTCAGTGAATACCTGTACTTTATAACTTTTATTGATGATTACAGCAGGTTCACAATGATTTACTTACTGAAAAAAAAAAAAAAAAAAAAAAAAACTAAGTATTTCTAAACTAAACAATAATTCGAGAGAAAGTAAAACTAAGAAGAGGTACGGTGTGATATACAAGTAAGGACTTGAAGACTATCCTACAAACATGTACAGTCACAAGTCATTAATTCGGACACCCAATCCGGACCTCAAGCTACAACTTTCTGCGCATGCGTCGCGTACGACGTTTAGGCCAGAAACCCTTACGCTGCGAAAATACGTTTGTGCGATGCGCGTTTAATGTGTAACGGTATAAGCTAAGCTAAATTATCTATTTCAGTTAATGTTGAGATTGCGTTGTTCCTTAATCTTCGAATTGGATCCGGCTTATTATTTTTTGCAGACTGTTAGAGCAATTTTATAAAAGTAAGCTTGAACTTTCGATTATGTCAAATAGAATTTCCGATATATATTTACTAATATGTAAAGATCTACAAAGCGAAAGTATGTTTCGAAGTCCATTAAACAAAAAGTGGAATTGCTGCAAAAAAATGGATAAAGGCATATCCTTTGTTTATCAAACTTTAACGTTTGTTTTTCTAACTTTGTTATCTTACGCCGCGGCGCGCGCAATGAATGGAAGTTGATCTGTCAGCACTATCCTTATCTTCAGGGCAGATGTTTTTATTTTATTTGGCTTATAATTCCTTACTAAATGTAGTATTTCATCTCGATGTACTCCGTCTTTGATATGATTTAAATCAAATTCCTCCTCGTCATTATAATTCGCTTCCGATAGTGAAGAAGTGACAGAGGTTATTGAAAACGAAAAATTTCGATTGACAAATTAGTCGGTATTCTCGACACAGCAATTATAGGACTTGAACAGCGGAACTTTGTAACTGAACAAGAAATTATGTCTGTTTATAGAATTAAAGAGAAAGTATTATCACATAAAAACGAAGCAACTTAAACAACTTACATTGAAAGAAATGTTTAATAAAGTAAACAAATAAATATTAAGCTTTTTTTTTTTTTTTTTTTTTTGTAAATTTTGATACCCTTTAGATCATAATTGTTCTTTATTTCATAAATTACGGTTTCATATTTTTAATTTTATAATTTCTGCATGCCATCTTACCAGATTTAAACTGATGATCTATAATCCGGAAAAATCGATAATCCGAATCGCCGAAGTCCCGACGAGTCCGGATTAACGACTTTTGACTTATAAATCACCAGCTTATTGTACCGTATTGTCCAGCACAAAATGGAGTCAGTGAGCGCAAAAATAGGTCGTTGATTAAGATGACAAGATGTCTTTTAGCTGACTCAGGTCAACCTCACAGATACTGAGCAGAAGCAGTGCTGACTGCAAATTTTACAGAATCGTATGCCTACAAAACCAAATGCAAAAACTCCATACGAATTATGGAATAACAAGAAAACCCAACCTCTCTCATCTGAGGACTTTCGGGTGCAAGGCTTTTGCTTACATCCATAAATCTAAAAGAGGTAAACTTGGATGATACTGCTGTAGAGAAGGAATACTCGTCGGCTACGACAGCAGAAG